ACTCAGGTTTATAACACAGACTGTAGGTTGTTACAGCAGCAACTGATTGATCTTCTGTTGCTGTGTACAGGTGGATGCTTCCTATTACCTGAGCACTGGGGGAGGGGAGGGAGGGTGTGGTTACATTCAGCTGAGCAGGTTTTTTCCAGGAAACAATCTGTATGAAAAGATACAGCAGATGGTTTCTGATAAACAACAGGTGTCCTGTCCTCCTACAGGTGTAGTTACAGGTTACTCTGTGGATTCAACTTTTACAATAAATGATGCACTAATAGATTAAATGAGCCAACAGTCTGAATGAGGACTTTTATTCTGATATTAGAGTAGATTTATAATTTCGTGCTTTTACTGAAGTAACGTGGTGAAAGCAGAACTATATGTTGGTGCTATTGTTATATATATACATATATATATATATATATATATATATATATATGTATTAAAGGTCCAGTGTGAAACATTGAGGAGGATGTATTGTCAGAAATTGAATATAATATTCATAGGTATGTTTCCATTAGTGTATCATCAGCTGAATATAGGAATCATTGTGTTTCTAAACCTTAAATTAAATTAGAAAATGATCTTTATTACATTTTTATGATTTGAAATATATAATATATTGACACAATGTTAGATTGTATCCCTGCAACAAAGTTCGGTATAGATGTGGATAATATAGTTGAGGATATATAATAATATGTAGAAGAATACAGAATAACCAAGATCATTAGATCATTAGTCAGTTTGTGACTAACTGACCCTAGAGCAGTCAACAAGGCTGCTAATACAACCTCATGAGTTCATCCATCTTAATCCATCACCAGCCTGCATACAGTGTAGTTTGTATCTGATAAACAGAATGTGAAGAGACTTCACATGTACTTTAATGTGTCACATCATTAATTTGTAATTGTACATTTCTTTCAATGTATTCATCGTTCTTAATGTGTTTCTTATTTTACAATAAACCTCTTGAATCTTAAATCTTATCTGACGGTGCATTCAGGGACAGGACTGACAAATGACACCACTTTGTTTGCCTACTTTACATGTTGCCATAACAACCCTCCTCCTACTTCCTCATGATACACACACTGCATTGTCTCCCATGTAACCCAGAGATTAGACTGTTGAGTCTCTAATGTGGAGGTAAATGGTTTCAGCTGCTGTTGAACTCAGAGCTGATCACAGACAGTTGGATTTGTTCACTTTAAGAACACTCAGGGTTATATGTGAGCTAAACTGAACAAAGACAGTGAAGAGTCAGCAATCAGTACTCACTTTGGAACAATTCACAGGAAATAAAACTGAAACAGAGTTTGGATTCAGAAGCTTTCAATCAAAGTGTTTCAATGTATTTCTGAGTATCTATTCTGATATTATTGAGTCCATGAGTGTGACTGCACTTTGAGAGCTGCACACGGCTCAACAACATCCACTGTTACTCCCCTGGGAGTACACTGCTGCGCCCCATAAGAACTTTACATCCATAGTAACTGGCTGAGGCTGCCACAGCTCGGGACCTGACTGAATCTCCATGACAACCTGACTCCACCCCCCCAGCGTCCTGCAGGGAGGAACCTGCTCAGACGTGTCGTCTAAGGTTTATTAATAACAATAACCTTTATTGAGACATTGTCCCACACTGTGATTGGCTTTTCTAAAATCAGTGTTTTTAACCAATAGCTGTGAAGAAGGCACTGAAGGCTGTTTGTCAGTCAAACTGTACAACATGTGGGTCAAGAGCAGGTTGCTGTTCGCTAGACCCAACAGAGAAACAGTGAGTCACCACAAAGTCACAAACTCTGCATAATTAGGCCGAATATAATGCAAATCACCACACAAGAGGAGGAAATGGAGTCACAACAAGGAGACAGGGAAACTGTTGGGTGTGAAGCTGCATTCAAATATAGAAACCTGTAATCTGAATAGTCTAAAGGCCAGAATACAAAAGTTATATTAAGTTAGGGAGACATTATAGCAACATTATAGATACCTGCCAGCTAATGTGTCCCACTGCTGAAATATGACGAGCAGTCGACTGAGTACACCGCTCTGCCAGTCTCTCATAAAGATGTTACAGAGCCACATCTTTAAATTACAATGTTTCTGCTCATCTATAACAAATGTCAGCAGAAAGTTTCACCTCTGCAAACACTTTCTACACAGACATCCTGATATTTCCATCCAACAACAGGCTGTAGAATCAACTGCAGTAGATACCTTTGCAATTTGAACATGTTTAATCAACTCATCAAGAACTATTTAGAAAATGTTGCTAATTAAAGACAAAGTACTGTTGTTAACCTGTAGTGTGATTATCAAAATGCTTTAGTCTGCACACACACACTCATCCGTTCACATGAAGAGCTCACCTTTAGAGGCAGATCACAGACTGGGACCCAGTCACTGATTCACTTTTCTTCTTGTCTTCATGTCGAATTTTCCCTGCACATTGCAGACACTACGTAGATTTCACAGGCAGACAACAGAAAAGTTCAAGATGTGAAGAAACATCTTCCCTCTCTTTGATGGCTGCAGTGCGGGATCAGGATCACAACAGACCCGGGTTAGGAAACAGTCCTCGTAAGTGTTGAGCCAACAGTCGTGGTGCTCTTCTGTTCTGTGTGTTTTTAATGTAACAACATTTTACTCCTGATCTCCTGAATATCACACAGGAACCTGTTCTGGAAGATAAATGAGAAACTGCTCATTAGTGACGACGATGTGAAATGTCCTCATCCTCACAGGTCGTTCCAAAACCCAAAGAGGTTCCCATCCCATATCTCCACTAGAGGCCTGAACTGGCTCAACACCAAGCCCAGATATGGATCCTGATCAGTCTATGACAGCACTGAACTTCCTCTAGTCTCCATCTCCAGCACCTTAAATGAATCCAGAACATAGACCACTCCCCAAAACACATTGAAGACAACATGGTGGACAGGAAAGTACCCGACAACAGAAATAAATAACAGAAACTAATCCAGAGAAAAGCAGAATGCAAAAGTCAGTAAAACATTTATTTTATTACAAAAGAGCATAACAATCATATTGGAATTATTTATGACTGATATTGTGAATGTGATGAGTCACAAGAATTAATTATAAAACTTGTGACGATGTGATTTTTGGTCTGTCTGAAGGTCAGAGCATCGCAGTGCTTCAGGTCTGATTCGGTTCGTTGTGTCACATCTTTGCAGTTTGTACAGATTTCTATTTTCATTAACGTTCATTAAGTCAGTTCACCTCATTCAGACAAAAACAGGAGTTCACTAAACGAATCTCATTTTAGTTGGCAGTATAATATGTATGTTGATGTTGCTACAAAGAGAAGTAACTGTAAGATGATGGTGAAGTAATGAGGGAATACATAGCATTTACTCAGTATTATGTCTCTCTCATTAATTAATGAACTGCTCTATAAATGTGACTATAGTTCCTCATTGTCAGTCAGAAAGGAAACAGCTGACACATGGTCTGTGTGTTGAGTATTAACCAGCAACCTGTGGCACTTTCAGTAGTAGCCTGTGTCTTACAACCTGACCTTCATTTTCTCTGCAACCCGACTGGAAAGAGGCTGTTGTAGTGTGGGGAGGGCCAGGGGAATGGGTGTGGTTAGACTGCTGCAGAAAGAGCTGTGAGATCCCTCGCAGAGGTTGTGAGTCGCCGTCCTGGACGACTCTTCTTTGCTTTAACAAATGACACTTTGACTTCATCATGACAAAGACATCGTCTTCTTTCGATTCTGTCTAAAAATGATTTGTCTTCTGTTTCTCGTCTGCTTCAAGAGACATGATTGGTTTTGTGAGACTTCATCAGAATTGATTATAGTGCAGCTGATCAATCAGCGCTCAGTGTCTAAGCTCTACTGCCTCCAGAGCACTGTAGTGATGTCTTGAGCTGACCAGCAGGTGGCAGTATGAGACAACAACATCCATGTGCAGGGTGTGGACAGACTGACACTGTGATCCACTGGTTGGGCTCCCTCGCTTTACAAGAACCTCGGCAGCTTTTCAATCTCACTGGATCAATTAAAACCAAACAATGAGCGTCTCTTGTCTCGCTCTTAGGGGATCATGTGGTTTTGTCTGTGGGTTCACCACTTCACTCGTCCTCCGATAAACCAGTTTTCTCATAGCTGCTGCAGAGAAAAATGACACAGGGGAAGGACGAGGCGTTTACTGGCTGTGTGTAAATGGATGAAATGCTGTAGTCTGTCTCTGTGTTGAGGTGGACCAGGTATCATGGACAGGACAGTAGGACTGAAAACTAAAGCTGAAACACTGATCTGAGCCAAACTGCGTCTCAGACAGGGCGTCGTACGTGTCCAGTGGAATTTCAGTGTTACTTACAGATAATGATGATGATACTGAAGAGAAAAATACTAAATAACTTAAACAGACTACACCAAACAGAAATTCTGCCTCTCTGTAAACAGTCAAAAGTTGTAAATGTTCAGTTTGGACACAGAAGCAGAAACTTACACACAAATGCATCCACACCAATAATACAGTAAGATAACACAAAGAACGACTGATTCACTCACACAACCTCCGTCTGTGTGCTGGTTAGTTGGTTTTGGTTAGTTATCCATCATCCATCATTGCGTGTGGAAAAAAGAAATCCACTCCAACAAGAACAACTGTTTACCATCATTTTCTCTCTGCTCACACATCCTCCTCCTCCTCCTCCTCCCTTCAGCCAGGCAGAGACAGTAAGATGGTAGCTGAATCATTTTCTGCTTTCAAAATCTGTATTTTATCTGTAAAAAATCTGTAGATTATTTCTGACGGTGTGCTTGTTAGATTCATTAGAAAGATGCTGAGCATAACAAACCTATAATAATGTGGGTATTGAATAATAATTATCAGCTCATTTTCTTTTCTAATGGCAGTGTGCTGTAATTGGTTTCCCTTTGTGTGTGTCTATCTGTCACTGACTGCTGAAACTACAGACCACAAAGAAAATATAATAAAAACAAGAGCAATAAACTGAGCTTTACTGTAAAAGAGCAGCTTTATTGGTCATGACTGAAGGCTCTGTATAACAGCAAATGGCACTTTCAGGTGTTAATTCAATGAGCAGTTTGTTTCCATAATGTTGTACCTTCACTCTCACATTGATAAGAAAGCTAATACAGAGTCCACCTACACAAACATCAGCTCTAGACATTTCTCTCTCAAAAAGGATCATTTGTACCTGGTTCTCTATGTGTACTGATCCAAGGTCCAAAGAAGGAAATAGAACAGACTTTTGCAGACTCTACATAATAATCATTTTATTAATAAAAAGTATCCAAAGCTAATCTGGAGGTAGTTTGTGAGATGTGATCAGAGGAATGAGCTCTCATTATATATAGATATTTCAGGACCACAGGAATCTGTACTTAAACCCTTATACAGTTCAACATTGATGCTGCTATATGACCTACAGACCCAAACGCCATCAGTTATTAGTAATGGCTGCCACCAGGTCAGATTTACCTTAAAATCAATAAAACGAGGAAGCAGAAAGATTACTGCTTTTGTCCACAGGAACCGCCAGAATTAACACAGAATGAAGCTTTCTAGTAGGAACTTAAACAAAGACAAGCTGAGTGAAAATATCTGTATGAATGTAACACAAATGAAGTGACACAATGGAGACAGTAGAAAGTAAAGCTTAATGTAATAAACACTATCTCCGGAGCAGCTTTCATAAAAGAACTGCTGCAACAAAGAAATTGTAGTTCTTCACACAAAACCCGTAACAGAAAGCCAGAATTAATGGAAAATACAAAAATACAAAAAATACATCAGACACATTGAATTCTAAAATGAACAACTTTTTGTTTTTAAGTGCAGGAGCTCATCAGTGCAAAGCAAAGTGCATAAAGGTTCGCAGCCAGTATGAGGACATCAGCTGGTTGAAGGCTAATGTGAAGAGACTGGAGCTGCAGACAGACAGCATTCAAACAAAGTGAACACGAGGAGCTGACGTAGAGCAGCAACATGAAAAAGAACACGTGGAGGTTCGATTTCAACCCGCAAGAATTCAGACAGGTAGGGGTGTACCTGAGGCACGCTGGATTCAGCAAAATACTGACTGACTCAATGATTACTGATGAAGTGTAATCAGGAGTCAATAGTACTGTCATCTTCTAGGATGGCCACTTTCTATACATTATCATCACCCTATATGAGCTTTTCTACGACCTGCTTAAAGCCTTCATACCATCTGGTGAACAGAACAGCAACATCTGGAAAACAGAATAAACACACAGATAGATTGATAAATAAATACACACACCATATTGAGTCTCCTGCTCTTCCCCTCAATGTATAATTCACAACAACCCTGCAGAGATTTACAGGACAAAACGTCTGAGTGTGTGCAGGCCACCATTTCTGTATTTATAACAATAAATAATAACAGCAAGACCCTGATCGGGGGTCAGATTCTACAGCACAGTTTTCTGACCATTAAATGAAGCTCACTAAGGTTATTAACTAAAACTAAATGAAGAACTCAAACTGGGTGTGAACAAACATGTTATTTCAAGGTTATATACACACAAGCTTTAGAGCATGAATATAGCAGCATTGTACTGTCGTCCTGGCAACGTGGCTTTGAGTAGAGTAAACCGCTGTTTTTATCATCTGTGTTACTGAATGTTGTCATTGTTCTGTTTCTGTCCACTTTCAGTAAAGGGTATTTTAAGAGCTGCTGGGTAAAATGACTGGTTTTGTGAATGGAGTCTGGTGGGTGGAAGCGCCCATTGCTTTGAGCTCTAGTGTGCCATCTAGTGGCAGTGAATGTCACATATATAACCTTTAACTGAAGCACAAATTAAAACCAGACTGCAGCAAGTGGGACTTACCATTCTGGCCACACTTGAGGTTCTTAGATAGTCTTCGATATATCATGATCAATGCAACGAAAAAAACAAATGCTGTCACTGCCACTGCCACTGCCACTGCCGTATGATCTGTGAAGAGCAGAAAGCAGACACGTGAATGAATGTATTCACAGGATTCCCGCTCTTTAAGAAAACATTTCCCAGGAGTTTTCTAGGGAACCCTTTACTAAAATAGAGCCTGTGTATTCCACATTGTGTGCAGCGGTTCCATGAACACAATCAGTGACATCTCACCTGCTTCTGTAACGTTAAGGACAACCCTAGCCAGTGTGACTTTATCAGCGCTGCACTCATATGTTCCAGTGTCGTTGTGGCTCACATTCTTCAGATTTAAAGACAGGTTACCGTCTTTCATCTCACGGTCCACCAGATCCACCCGCCCTATATAAGATGGGTCCTGGTCACGTGGTTCGATGGAGTGCCCGTCTCGGTTGAAGTACACATGTTTACTGAGACCATCTTTCTTCCACTTTGCAACATTGATTGTTGTGTTTCTGGGAGCCTCACATTTCAGAACAACATTGTCTCCAGGATGAGCTGTAACGTTCTGTTGGTCTGAAGGAGAAAATAAAACAGTCATTATATATATATATATATATATATATATATATATATATATATACACACACACATACAGTCATTATATACACACTGTCATTATATACACTGTTATTATACTGTATATACAGTCATTATATATATAGTCATTTTACACATGGTCATTATGTTTATGGTAACTATGACAACCACAGACGCAGTTACTGGGGTCCCTTACAGCAGTGGTTCTCAATTATTTTCTGTCATGCCCCCCTAGAGGACAGAATTTTTTTCACGCCCCCTGAATTTGAATACTATTGAGAACCTGATCATATTTATTTATCTATCTGTACAAACCACTGTATGAGTTGCTGGCACCAGCATTCTGCATACAATCACCTGATTATCAAACTGGATTAATAAAATGAGCTGAGATAACATCTGCAGCAACTTTAAACTGACTTTTTAACGTTTGGGTTTTTTTTGTGTAAAATTTGCAACAACATTGTTTCTATTTAACGTTTGTCTGTCAGATGTTCTGTGAGTTGTTCTTGGAGGTCGTCTATAATGTCAGATAAACGTCTCCCCATCGTGTCGTTGGACAGAGGGACAGTATTCAGTGTCTCTTTCCTCACCTATGACTGTGACCATGTCCAATGCTGCCGGAGTATTCGCTCCTCTGCTGTTGTGTGATGGTTTTTTGCACCTTGTGATGTGGCGGTGTGTGTCCGAGGCTAACGGTGTGTTTTTATTTACTGATGCCGCGCTCACTGAATGACCGGCCTGTTGGAGATACTCATCGAGTATCTGATGCAGAAAGTCCAGTGGCTTATTGACAGAGCTGGGTGTAAGGTCTCCAGGTGTTTGCTTTCATGCTGTCCGCTGCCAGAGTTTAAACATCAAACACACACAGGTCTTTCCTCATTTCCGACCGTATTCACGGTAAACCCAAAGGCTGTGGGTCCGTGTATGTTTCTGTCATTGGATGTTCCTTTCAGAAACGGGTATTAAAAACAGAAAACGAGTGGTTATTTGATTTTCGTTTTAAAATACAAAGATTAAAATTGAAATACAAGGCGTTTTTCTTTTTCATGGTCAGAAAGGGATGAGCGAAATATAAAAAAATATTTGATTTTCATTTTCTATTTCATATATCAAAAAATAAAATCAGTAGAAAACAGAAACAGAAAAAGGCCGTTGTTTCATATTCGAGACCGGATGTTGTCATTTACAGGACGGTGCTGTGTAGAAGAAACAGTAGGCTGTAGACTCGGTCAATCCAGCCGTGAGTCCGATCTCCGTGGTCAAATCAGCCGCACTTAAATTTAGAGTGTACAAGTATTCTCAGCATTATGGTAAATGCGGAGAAACAGCGTATTTACTTCCGGTTTTCAAAATAAAGGTATTTAGAACAGTAAGCTATAATTAAAATATGTTACATTAAAGTGTTTCATGTGCCCCTGATGAATAAAAAACACTTTATATCAAGTATCTTTACTGCACCAGTGTGGAGAAATGCCAAAATAAAAGTCTCATATTTATGCCTCCAGAGATTGCATATTTGACCATATTTGAGCTACTGTAAAAACATATTGCTCAGTGTTTCCTGGCTACTGATGGTATATTTGACTTTTACACATATGAGACTACAAACATACTTAATATCAAGCATTTTTACTGTACCAATGTGGAGAAATTGAAGAATAAAAGTCCATATTTGTACCTCCATGTGGCATATTTTCATATATTTGAGCTACTGTAAAAACACTTTGCTCAATAATTCCTGGTTATGGATAATATATCTTACTTCTACACATCTAAGACTACAAGTATACTTAATATCAAGCATATTTACTGTACCAATTTGGAGAAATTGAAGAATAAAAGTCCCATATTTATACTTCCAGATTCCATATTTTCTTATATTTTGAGCTACTGTAAAAACATATTGCTCAATATTTCAGGCTATGGGTGAAGCATTTTCATTATACTTCAATAATGCTGCAGTAATCATGACAAAATTTCACACAACTGTTTAATAACATCTTGATAATATAAACACTAAACACAAAATCCTACACAATTCTAATTTGTTCACTTTTCACACAAAATGCAATGCCAGTCCACATTCTTCTTATTTTGCAGCTCTGCTGTGTCCATTTGTAGGTAAAAGGGAAAAATAATTAGTTTTAACTTCAAAACACCATTGTACCTACTGTCTCTTCCTCACATATTATTTTTATATTATTCAGTGTGACAGCTGTTGCAGGTGGTTCCACATACAGTTTACATTTTTACAGTCGCTCAAATATAAGAAAATATGGAATCTGGAAATATAAATATGGGACTTTTATTCTTCAATTTCTCCACATTGGTACAGTAAAAATGCTTGATATTAAGTATACTTGTAGTCTCATATGTGTCAAAGTCAAATATACTATCAGTAGCCAGGAAACACTGAGCAATATGTTTTTACGGTAGCTCAAATATGGTCAAATATGCAATCTCTGGAGGCATAAATATGAGACTTTTATTTTGGCATTTCTCCACACTGGTGCAGTAAAGATACTTGACATAAAGTGTTTTTTTATTCATCAGGGGCACATGAAACACTTTAATGTAACATATTTTAATTATAGCTTACTGTTCTAAATACCTCTATTTTGAAAACCGGAAGTAAATACGCTGTTTCTCCGCATTTACCATAATGCTGAGAATACTTGTACACTCTAAATATAAGTGCGGCTGATTTGACCACGGAGATCGGACTCACGGCTGGATTGACCGCAGTCTACTAGTCTACTGTTTCTTCTCCACAGCACCGTCCTGTAAATGACAACATCCGGTCTCAGAATATGAAACAACAGGCCTTTTTTCTGTTTCTGTTTTCTAGTGATTTTATTTTTTGTTATATGAAATAGAAAATGAAAATCGAATATTTTTTATATTTCGCTCATCCCTTTCTGACCATGAAAAAGAAAAACGCCTTGTATTTCAATTTTAATCTTTGTATTTTAAAACGAAAATCAAATAACCACTCGTTTTCTGTTTTTAATCCCCGTTTCTGAAAGGAACATCCAATGACAGAAACATACACGGACCTGTGTTGGGGGTTGGTCGTATTTCCTGCTCTCGTTAGGTTTCTGCCGGTTACCGTCACTTTCTGTTCTTGCCTCTGACGTCTGCCTTAGGCTAACGTTAGCCTGTTAGCTTGTGCGCCGGTTTGACCATAAAACACAAATGTTAACACATTGAATGACGTAATAACTCACCAGGTGAAGCCACAACGTGGAGGATCGACAGCAACACGAACAGGGTCGTTGTCCTTAACATTATGATTAATAAAGTGTATCTATCTATTACCTGTCTGCTCCTCCTCCAATCTCAGGTGAGAGCTCCTCATCCGGTTACTTGCTCGCGTCATGGCCCCGCCCCCTTTTCAGGTAAAAGCAGCCCCTGCTATATTTCACATTTCCATTTACAGTTTCACATTTAATAAAGGCTCAAACTGAATCCAGCATGTCCTCTTCTTAATCCACAGCAAACCTTTGTACCGCTGTCCCAGTTCTCCTGCATCAATCCCTCACTGCACTAACCTGTGAGGAAGAGTTGGACACACACACACTCACTGACTGTCTGTCATTAACTAACCTGTGAGGAAGAGTTGGACACACACACACTCACTGACTGTCTGTCATTAACTAACCTGTGAGGAAGAGTTGGACACACACACACTCACTGACTGTCTGTCATTAACTAACCTGTGAGGAAGAGTTGGACACAGACACACTCACTGACTGTCTGTCATTAACTAACCTGTGAGGAAGAGTTGGACACAGACACACTCACTGACTGTCTGTCATTAACTAACCTGTGAGGAAGAGTTGGACACACACACACTCACTGACTGTCTGTCATTAACTAACCTGTGAGGAAGAGTTGGACACAGACACACTCACTGACTGTCTGTCATTAACTAACCTGTGAGGAAGAGTTGGACACACACACACTCACTGTCTGTCTGTCATTAACTAACCTGTGAGGAAGAGTTGGACACAGACACACTCACTGACTGTCTGTCATTAACTAACCTGTGAGGAAGAGTTGGACACAGACACACTCACTGACTGTCTGTCATTAACTAACCTGTGAGGAAGAGTTGGACACACACACACTCACTGACTGTCTGTCATTAACTAACCTGTGAGGAAGAGTTGGACACACACACACTCACTGACTGTCCCTCAGTTTAACATTTTCATCCTGAAACACATCGATCTCTTCTTTTACTCTCCTTCACTCTTTGAGGAAATAAAGGAAATCCTAAACCAGATGCAACAAACACTGCCCCCCACAGGTCACTTGTAGAACTCCAGTGGATTACTCAAATCCTTGATAAATCTTGATAAAGAATGGTTTTAACTGGTTTCACAGTGTAATCTGAACTTTAAAAACAACAATTTAATTTAGTTTTTTACACAGAAATGAAAGAAATGCTGAGATATTGGCCACACGCAGCTACAAAAACAACCAATCGAAACTCAAAGTAAATTTGTCCAAAAGTGAAGCTTTAAGTGTGACTTCAGTTTATAGATTCACAAACATCCTTCACTTAGTCCAACTGTCAGTGAAGGCATCGTGCAGATTTAATGGTGTCTTGCTCTTTTTTTGTGGGTCTCTCTCTTCACTTTCTGTTACGGTTCAGAGCCTCGTTTCCAACTGAATGTATCTGCTTTATTGTAATAACAAAGAAATCTTTCTCATAATAGTGTGAGGAGAGGAAACCACAACACTGCCAGCCACAGTCACACAGTCACAGGAAGGAGGAGGGTTTTACTTGATTCTACCATGAACTGATCAAACTATAGATCTCATATAACAAGTGTTAGGATGGAGGGAACATCTCTACTGTGGCTGTTCTGTAAGTACACTCTGGGTGAGGGGGGGGTGTCTGTCTGGGTGTTACAGTGTTATTACTGACATCACCTTCCTGTCTGCGTGAGGACCCAGTCTGCAGTTGTCTGCAGTGTCCCACAGTTTTATATTTACTACTTCTACTACTCCTTTGGCACAGTTTACTGGAGTATACCCATTTATATTTCAGTCAGCACTGGGTATACCATCTTCTAAATCCCTTGTGCATCATTCAGTAGCGTTCTCTGAGCTGGTTTTGTTCCTAGGATGGCAACACAGTTGTCCAATTTAAGAAATACCACCTGTTTGTGGGCCCGTATTGATTTTGAAATCTTCCGTAGATAAGTTTAATTTCATAAAGATCCTTACTCCAAAGCAAGTAACAGAAGTCATAATGTGCAAATAACACTGGCCCATTTTTTGGCCAGCAGTATGCAAATATACAAGAGTTGTCTTACATGTCACTGTCTATAACACAGGAAGTTTATCCTCTGCTGGACGGGCTGCTTAAATCAAAATCGGGGCATAAATTAAGAGCACTTCTCCAGGCACAATTACACCACTGCCTCAACCTGTGAAAAATGCTGTAAATGCATCCTGGAAAATGTAGTATTTGGAGTACAGGAGACTAAAAGTCAGAATCTCTCAACCTCTGCTTTATTTAATTTGATCTATTTAATCTCAGAATGAATCAACTCTCTTGATTCATTCTGAGCACAACAACCTAATAATGTTTTAATAAAACCAGATACGTATATAATGGATGTTCTGTAAAGAACAGCAGGTCTCTGTGTTCAGAACACTGCAGTCACCCCTTTCTACATCCGAAGACAGACCATTGCAAACTGGGGTATCGGACCCTCCTGAAGGGGTTATAAGATAAATCTAAGGGCTCAATTAACAGGAAAGCAGAAAAAAATGCATTTTGCTTGCTTGCTCTTTAGGCCCCCAAAAACCGCTCAAAAGATTATTGTGACTTTATGATTATTACCAGTACACATATTCAGGCAACAAACAGGAAAGAATCATTAAGTTGTAGATGTCCTCATTCTGCATCAGTACACCACAACCAAACCAACATGCGTGTGAAACCTCAAACCAGTTTCATTTCTCTTCAGTTGTGACGTCACTGCTGAGCTGCCCAACAAACCAAGGTGAGTAAACTTACCCTGACACGTCTCATACCAACAGGAAATATATCTATAACAAATATAGTGTGTGACTCGTAGAACTTCCGGGCTCCATTGGTGTATTTTAGTTTTTTATTTTACCAGGAAGTCCCATTGAGATCAAAAATCTCTTGTACAAGAGAGACATGGCAGAGATAGCAACCGTACAAAATCACAACATTAAAATACAATATGATGTACAAAAAAATCCACAATAAAGTGTTGCCACATTCTTTATGATGCACTTAAATTCATCAATGGATATAAATCCACATTTTAATAATTTAATAATAATCTTTTTGCAGATTATTTCCATGACCAAGGTGCATTGTGAGAAATGCAGTCTTCCCCAGATCTGTCAGAATCTGTGGGACATTAAAAAGCAACCAGTAGCTACCAGAACTGACACAGAGCAGGTTACAGAGATATTCCGGAAATCTACCCAGTATTGCTTTATAAATAAAAATGTGCAGTGCTGTTCTCTGCAAGTGGTCAACGATGTCCAGCCCTCTGGGGCGCCCGGTTAGCTCATCTGGTAGGGCTGGTTCCCCATGTACCAAGGCTGAGTCCTTGTTGCAGCGGCCCAGTGTTCAAATCCGACCTGTGGCCCTTTGCTGCATGTCATCCCCTCTCTTGACCCCCTTTCCTGTCTCTCTTCAGCTGTCTTCTAGAGAAAAAGCCCCAAAAACAATATTTAAAAAAAAAAATCCACCGACCAAATCATAACGGATGCAATGGTGTCATGAACCTGCTCTAGGATTATGACAAAGAAGGGAGACTTCACAGAGATTGTAAGTGTTCTAAACAAAAAGAAGTTTAATTAAACAATATTCACTGTCACAAGTCACAATATGTATATGTACGTCAGTGAGGTCAGTAGTGTAGTGAGGGAGTGTGTGGACATGGGCGAAGTGTGTGTGTCAAAAGGTGGTGCATGTCTCCAAAGACTATCCAAAAACCAAAGACAGCAACAAACCAGGAACCTGCTGAGTGGAAGAGGAGAGAGAGAATGATCACCAACCAGCCGTTTATAAAGAGCAGCACCCAGGACACACCAGGTGTAGCCCATCTAATGGCCACACCCTCTGCCACTCTGTCTCCTGGAGAGAAGGGGAAAAGACCCAGACCAACCAGAGGGGGGGTGGGGTCATCACAATGGTGAGTGAGGGACTTTGAATTTCTAATGAAGCATAGAGATGCATTTTACACTGAAACAAGGCTCCATAAAGTGGAGGAGTCAGCATGCATCTACAATTTGTCAATGTAATCAATCACGGAAAAACCAGTAGATTTCAAGATTTATTTCTAAAATAAAAACCAATTTTCACTTGGAGCTTCCTATCTAGAGTAGCAATATGTACAAATTAAATCTTGTCGTCTATCCAGATACCCAGGTACTTGTACGAGGGCACCCTTTCTATGGATTTACAATCAGATGTGAAAATACTAAAATCATCAAGCAACTCTTAGAGAAGACCAGGAACTTTGTCTTCTGAGCATTTAAAACCAATTTTAGACTCCGCAGATAAGTTTGTAATGACTGAAATAAAGCATGTGTATAAATTACTGCGTCCTTAGCATAAAAGTGTATTTTTGCTTGTATCTCCTTACTGTCACTTATAAAAACAGAGAATAAAATAGGTCCCGAAATGGAACCCTAGGGGGCACCTTTTGTTATTCTGAACTATGGCCCTCTGCTTGGACTGATTTCGCTCTACAAAATAATTTCTGAACCCTTTAACAGCCTATGGACTGAAACCAGCTTTGGATAGCCTATGGATTGGAACAAACTAATAAGCCCCATCCTGTTTTGCTCTATGTATTTCCCCATGTGTCTTCTATCTCTTAACCATCTTCAAAATGTGGTTGTCTTTTCAACATAGATTAACCTAGCAGATAGCATTTCTAAGTACAGGAAAGGAAGAAGCTGAGAAGCTGGGTTTCCTCAACAGTTATTGGAGCACATAGCAAAAAGGGGCGGGGCTTATGAAGGGTCTATTCCACTATAAATAATTTCCACAATGGACCTCATGTGGACACTATGGAGTAACGAGTCTGCTCTAGGTGCAGACCTCACCTTACTTTGTTCAGATGATTACTCAATATTAATAATTCAAAGCCACTTGGATGTTACAATGCAATAATAATATAATAATATGTCAAACTACCAAAAGGTTGGACACAGTTTAGGTCAGTGACACAGTTAAACATCTCTGTAAAGGTCACCAGAGGGCGCAGTCGACCCTGAGTTCAGTTGTTGTAAAATGTGTTTAACAGTTTATCACCCCTTCGTTCCTCCAGCCTCTCTGACTGTGAGTCCCAGCAGCTCTCAGCTGTTTGAAGAAGACTCTGCCTCTCTGAGCTGTGAGGAGGACGACAGCTCTGCTGGATGGACACTGAGGAGGAAGACGAGTGAAGGACAGTTGTCTCAATGTGGATCAGGATGGGGAAGACCAATTGGTTCTTCTTGTAAGATCAGTATGACACTCTCCTGGGACAGTGGAGTTTACTGGTGTGAGTCCAGAGAGGGAGCAACCAGTAACACCATCAACATCAGTGTCACTGGTAAGATCAGACTGTGGAGTTAGTGTTGATGAAGCTGTGTGTAAATGGATGAAATGCTGTAGTCTGTCTCTGTGTTGAGGTGGACCAGTGATCCTGCAGAGTCCTGTCCTCCCTGTGATGGAGGGAGATGATGTCTCTCTGCACTGTAAAACAAAGACCCCTCCCTCCAACCTCACAGCTGCTTTCTATAAAGATGGCTCCCTCATCAGGACTGAGCCTACAGGTCACATGACCATCCACCATGTTTCCAGGTCTGATGAAGGCCTCTACAAGTGTCACATTGGCAGTCATGGAGAGTCTCCACCCAGCTGGATCACTGTCACAGGTGAGGAGGTTACCTTTGATTTCAGGACTTATTTCATCCAGATATTCACCTGAGCAGGTGGGATTCTCTCTGCAGGTAAACCTACAACCACAGCCCCGCCCACACCTGAAGCCCCGCCCACCACCGAAGCCCCACCCACCTTCACAGCCCCGCCCACATCTGCAGTCCCGCCGACCACAGTAACGACATCCACTGCCTCCACCCCCCTCCAGTTTGTGTTCAGATTGCTCTGCCACCTAGTGGTGTTCTGTCCGTACTGCATCTCCACTGTCCTCATGGTGTCTTTATATCGACAGAGGGCCACAGGTAACACTTATCAATCAATCAATCAATCAATCAATCAATCAATCACTCTGGTGTTGATGATTGACAGCTGTCTCTAACAGAAGTTTATTAATGATCTATATTTTATTTCTAACCTGCTCTGATTGTAGGAAATAATCTGGCCGTCTCCATGGTGATGACCCCGCCCACCCAGGCTGAGCAGGGATTGGATGGTGACTATGATGATGTCATCGATGATGTCACCACAGAGCATCACTTCTGAATTGATCCGATGTGTTCAATGTGTTCTTAAATGAAGCTAAAATGTTCAAATAAAACTCACAGATCACAAACAGTAGAGGACCCCAAACACTTCCCTGAGGAACTCCACATGTCTCTGGTTGCTTATAACTTTTCTCCTGTTATATTGGAGTTGTTCTGATGATTCACCAGAAACTTTAGTTATTTTAGTTTCAGACGGTTGTGTGTCTGTTTCAATGTGTGTTATTGGTTGTTTGTTGTTTACCCTGCAGTGAATCTGTAAACAGAAACTGTTCTGTAATCTTACAGTTTCATATTTCATCTCATGTGTCACTGCAGGACTGTTAATTTTTTTTTTTTTTTTTTTTTTTTTTTTTTTTTTTTTTTTTTCTTTCCCCCCCCCCCCCCCCCCCCCCCCCCCCACACGGGAAAAAAAAAAAAACCCCCCCAACCACGGAGGGAGGGTGTTTTTTTTTTTTTTTTTTTTATTTAGTTTTTTTTTTCCCTTCCCCTTGGCGCTTGGTTTTTTTTTTTGTTGTTTTTTTTTTTTTTTTATAATTTTTTTATAGAGTGTTGTTTTCTTGCCCTTTTTTAAAAAAGTTTTGTGATAAATTTTTTTTTTAAATGAGGCTATAAAAAAAAAATTGAATTGAATTGAATTGAATTAATAAGATCTGTAATAGTGTCTCTATACTCTGATATATATATATATATATATATATATATATATATATATATGTTAAAATGTGAGCACTGTATGTGTTTTATTATTGATCTGTTTAATGAAAAGTGAACTGCAGTATTTTACACATTTTGTTGTTGACCCTTTTAATTTGAATCTTTATGTAACATTGGCTCAGTGGAAGATATAAAAGATAAAAAGAAAACAAAGAATGTGAATGTTTGTGATTTTGTGCATTTTCTGAAACTCAATCTGAGCTTTAATATAATTAATAGTTTAGTTGTTTTTCACACTGAATATCAAACAGCAGCAGCTTCCTGTTTCCATTGGACTGAACTCTGACACTGGTGAGGTTTCTCACTATATTCTGGTCTGCTGTATCTGATGGTGATGTTTGTCTGTTTCATGTGATCAATGTGTCAACTTGTTTTAATAGAAGGAAGCAGCACTGTAGTCGTCCAGCTTCTTGTTTCAGATAAATAGCCTCCAGATATATCTAATAATAATAATCTGCAGGAATAAAATGTCGGTGGGTAAATTAATCCTGAAGCTGTTATTTGATTTGTCTGTTTTTTGGTCTAAAGATGTGAAGAAGTGTTAAACCCCGGATGCTGCAGCAATGAGCTGCTGCTGATCTGATCATAAGTAATCATAACAAATGTACAGCTGTCCATATTTACCACAGTGGTAAATCTTTGCTGTAAATCAACAGTAAACTCTGCTGTATTAATGTACAGTATCATTCTGTAAACTGCAAACACTTTTCACTTTTCACTGTAAAGTTACAGTAATTAACTGGCAGCAGCTTTTCCAACAAAGTGCTGTATTTCTTACTGTTTCTTACAGTTTCTTACTGTTTCTTACAGTTTCTTACTGTTTCTTACAGTTTCTTATTGTTTCTTACAGTTTCTTACTGTTTCTTATTGTTTCTTATTGTTTCTTACAGTTTCTTATTGTTTCTTACAGTTTCTTACAGTTTCTTACTGTTTCTTACAGTTTCTTATTGTTTCTTGCTGTTTCTTACTGTTTCTTACAGTTTCTTACAGTTTCTTACAGTTTCTTACTGTTTCTTACAGTTTCTTACAGTTTCTTACAGTTTCTTACTGTTTCTTACAGTTTCTTATTGTTTCTTATTGTTTCTTATTGTTTCTTACAGTTTCTTACAGTTTCTTACTGTTTCTTACTGTTTCTTTTAGAACAAAATTTCAGTTCATTGCTGAGTCATTTTATATCACAGTACTGGTCACAGTCAGTAAAGCACAGTACAGTATGTTACCAGTTTCACAGTGTCTAGAGAGCCCACCATTATTATTATTATTACTATTATCGTGACATCCTTTAAATACAGGATACACTGTAAATATATTTATATACTGTAAATATACAGTAGTTTACTGACAAAACTGTGACCAGTATTGTGTTATTTCCAGTCATTACACTTAAAATATAGTAAGAAAATAAAATACAGAACTTTTCTGGCGAAGCTGCTGCCAGTTAATTACTGTAAATTTACAGTGAAACCCTACAATGGTATTTCCACTGGGGGGGGCGCCAAATCACAAAAAATACCAAACATAGTGATTTAAGGCCCTTCATAACCTTTGACCCTTTGTATGTTTCTGAACTCTTCATATCTACACACCTTCCTGTTCTCTCAGATCCTCTTCTGCTGCCCAACTCACCACCAGGGGTCCACTCGAGGGTCCAGAGCCTTCAGCTGTTCTGGCCCCTGCTATAAGGATCCTGTCCCATAAGACAGCTGTAATGTGACTCTCCTGTGTTGATGATGTAGGAACAGGTGAGACAAGCTTTCACCAGGTGAATTATTGTACCTGTTGTTGTAATACTCATTTTGGCCACAAGAGGCTGAAGTGCACCACTGCCCCATGTTCTAAACAGGACTAAAGCATCCATGTTTTCTTCCAGGTGAGATGGCGTTAGACAGACTCTGTCAGGCTGTCTGTCTGTCTGTCTGTCTGTCTGTCTGTCTGCTTCTTGTTTTTAACAAGAGAGACAAATGACTCATGAATGATTAATGTTGGTGTTTATTACCTGCGGGGGTTTCGGTTGAGGTTAGGCGCATTGTGGTTTAAATCAGACCTGCATCAACATGTTCAACAGCTTTGATTGTTTCAGGTGGAAGAAGGTTAATTATAAGGTTCTTTGTTCTGCTTTATACACTGTAAAACCGGATGAGTTAGTTCCACTCAACCAATCACCTTAAACAGTTAAAGCAAGAAAAATGAACTAATTTATTGTTAATGTAAATGAAGTTACTCACACTCTTGTACTAGGATTTATCTGAATGAAGTCACTTTAATGAATCTTCTTTAAACAAATGTTATTACTTACACTATCTGTCAAAACAGCTGACATATGATCAAAACAATTTGCAATTAATTGATTATCAAAATGGTAGCCAATTGATTTTAGGTCTTACAATTTTTAATAATATATAGTCAACTTAAAGAAAATGAGTCAGTTTTACAAATATTAAACTATTACATAAAATACTAAAGAACTGTGTTATCACTTCAACTGTTCGGATTTCGGGTTTAATTCATGAGATTTAAAACCTTTTGCAGGATTAAGTTCATTTTACAAACCTCTAAAACATGATGCATCAATACAGAACATTATGTGAAGTGGTTAGAAAGAATTAATTAACAATAATTATGGATATTAATAATAATAATGATAATAATACAGTTATAGTAAATGTTGTTGAAACTTCAATTAAATGACTACAGAAATTATTATAATTTAGCAAGAAATAGACTTTAAACACTTTTGCAGATTTAATTAATTTGCATTTACAGAGAACGGAGTGAAAGATAGACGCAGGTGGAGCTCAGGTGTGGTGTGTTTTTCTCTTAAACTGGTTCTTCCAGCTGAGATCAAACACGTTTAAACAGCTCTGGTTTATTGTACATATATATCACAACTTCAGTATGAACTGTTACAGAGACTAAATCCAGGATATGATAACACCCGATATTATTATATGAAAGGAGAATAATGACGTGCCTTATGACAGCAATAAACAGAAAACAAACCCAGAAAGATAAAATCACCCACAATCATCCAGAAATCATCACAATGATGTCAAATAAAAGAATAAAAGAAAAATGATTCAGTATTTAAATGATTTCACAATAAAGTGTTAATTCAGATCAGAAACTTTGACTGATTGATGGTTTTAACACAATATCTTCACACCCTTGTTTTCTGTTTGTGTAACAGCGGCAGAATTATTGTCTGGGATGACTTTATATTTTCCTCGGCCCCTGAAACGAAGAACAACAACAACAACCACAATAACAACATCAACAACAACAACAACAAGAACAACAAAACCGATTGACAGACCGACGACTAGCGCCCCTTGTCTTCTGCTGCTTCTTCCATCAGTGTTTCCATCTTCCTCGTTTCCTACATCCTTGTTTTCTTCCTCCTTGTTTCCTACATCCTTGTATTCTTCCTCCTCGTATACTGGGTTGACCCACATGTATTTAGCTGTGACACATAGAACAGAATCAGGTGTCAGGTAGCTGATGACTGAAGAACAGGTTACAAACTCACCTGAGTCTGAACTCACCTTCAACGTTCAGGGTGAACTGAGACTTTGTCCCTCCGTCTTCACTGCCTTCAGTTGAGATCTCACACTCATATGTTCCAGTGTCGTTGACGGTGACGTTCTTCAGAATCACAGAAGCATCTCCGTTCTTCATCTCTGGATCCATCAGCTCCACTCGACCACGATAAGATCGAAGCTGGCTGGTTTCATTTGAGCTGTTTCCTCTGAAGAAGACATATTGATCTGACTCCTGGTCAGTTCTGATCCACTTTAACACTGAGATCGAGGCGTTTCTGGGACCCTGGCAGTGAAGGGTGACGTTATCTCCGGACCACGCAGTTACCTCCTCAGGTTCTAAACAAGAAGAAGCGGAAAAAATGAACACCAAAACAGTTCAGAGAGATTCTGGACTCATCGTCATCTTTAATTCAATTCAATTCAATTTTATTTGTATAGCGCCAATTCATAACAAAAGTTATCTCAGGACACTTTTCAAATATACAGGCAGACCAACCCTAAACATTATTTACAGGGACCCAACAGTACCACCATGAGCAAGACCTTGGAGACAAGGGCAAGGAAAAACTGCCTGTTAAAAGGCAGAAACCTAGGACAGATCCTCCAGCTCTAGGTGGGTGGGAGAGAGAGAGAGAGAGAGAGAGAGAGAGAGAGAGAGAGAGAGAGAACAGACAGATAGACTGACAGGTGCACAGTAACAACAGTATTGGCAATGGCAATCTAGCAGGACCATGGCAGGAGGCTCCACCAGGATCGATAAGAACCTGCTAGATGAGAAAGCACAAGAACTCCGGGGAGAGGTGAAGTTAGTAACATGCATTAATGGAACATGAATGAGTGCAGAAAGAGAGAGGAAGAGAGGAGCTCAGTGCACCATGGGAAATCCCCCGATAGTCTAGGCCTATAGCAGCATAACTAAGGGATGGTTCAGGACTCACCTGGATCCAGCCCTAACTAATTTATAAAGAGGAATCTTAAGCCTCCTTGAATGTGGTGAGGGTCGCCTCCCGAACCACAACTACTGGTTCCACAGGAGAGGAGCTTGGTAACTGAAGGCTCTGGCTCCTGTTCTACTTTTTAGAGACTATAGGAACCACAAGTAGCCCAGCATTCAGAGAACGTAGTGTTCTAGTGGGGTAATAGGGTACTATGAGCTCTTTAAGATATGAAGGGGCCTGACCATGAAGAGCTTTATAGGTGAGGAGGAGGATTTTAAATTCTATTCTACATTTTACAGGGAGCCAATGCAGAGAAGCTAGTACAGGAGAGATGTGATCTCTTTTTCTAGTTCCTGTCAGTACTCGTGCTGCAGCGTTCTGAATTAATTGGAGCGTTTTAATGGACTTATTGGGGCAACCTGATAATAAAGAGTTGCAGTAATCCAGCCTTGAAGTAACAAATGCATGGATTAGTTTTTCTGCATCTATCTGTGATAGGATGTGTCTAATTTTTGTAATATTACGTAAATGAAAGAAGGCAGTCCTGGAGGTTTGCTTTATGTGGGAATTAAATGACAAATCCTGATCAAAGATAACTCCAAGATTTCTGACAGTTTTGCTAGAGGCCAAAGTAATGCCATCTAGAGTGACTATATCTTTAGACAGTGAGTCTCTAAGGTTTTTGGGGCCAAGAACAAGAATTTCGTTTTTTTCTGAGTTTAACATCAGAAAATTGCAGCTCATCCAGGATTTTATGTCCTTAAGACATGTTTGTAATTTTGAAAATTGATTAATTTCATCGGGCTTGATCGATAAATATATAACTGCGAATCATCTGCATAACAGTGAAAGTTAATGCGGTGATTCCTAATAATGTTGCCTAAAGGGAGCATATATAAAGTAAATAGAATTGGTCCAAGTACAGAACCTTGTAGAAAACACAAACATCCGATCTGTGATCTGTTTTACTCTCAGCTCAACAAGCAGGAAGCCCCTGCAGAGACACACTGAACTCTACGAACTCACCTGAGTCTGAGACGGTGAGGTCGACGGTGAGGTCGACGGTGGCCGTCCTACCTGCATGTATGCAAACTGGTCGACTCGCTTTAATACACTCATATGTTCCAGTGTCGTTGACGGTGACGTTCTTCAGAATCACGGAGGCGTCTCCATACTTCATCTCTGGATCTTTCAGCTCCACTCGACCACGATAAGACGGATGCTGGTAGTCTTCATCTATACGCTTGCGATAGACCCTGAAGACCTTAAAGTACTTGTAGTCATCTTCATCTTTCCACCATAGTACATGTACAACCGGGTAAGACTGACAGTGAAGAGTGGCATCCCGTCCAGGCCTCACTGTTACCACATATGTGTCTGAACAAAAAGAAAGAAAATAAACATCAGAAAGGACTTCCTGTTACTTCCAAACTCATCTTTCATTGGACCAATGATGTAATAGCAGACATCATGTCTTTCTGTCTCCTTTGGGGGTAGTAAAAAACCAACAATATAAATCATATCAATGAGCCTGAAATCAACAGGAAGACTTATTAACCAAGAAAGACTCACAAGACCGTCTGCACAGTGAATTTTAGCTCCTCTTTCTATCTTTAATATGTGTTGAGAAAAGACTGTTTCTGGTATAAATACAGAGGATACGTGTGTTATTGACTTTTGGGATGTGTTGCACCACAAAAGAAAGCGAGCAGGTTTCCAAAGCACCACGCCTGTTGATTCCAGACATTACTGTAAACCACAGTTTTGAACATAGTGTTTATGGGATTTGTATTATTCCCTATTAAAATAATTTAATACGGGGCGCCCAGTTAGCTCAGTGGGTAGAGCTGGCGACCCATGTACCGAGGCTGAGTCCTTGCTGCAGCGGCCCAGGTTTCCAATCCGACATGTGGCTCTTTGCTGCATGTCATCCCCTCTCTCTGCCCCCCTTTCCTGTCTATCTTCAGCTATCTCTATCATAAAGGCAATAAAAGCTCAAAAACATACTTAATAATAATAAAAAAATAATAATAATAATAATTTAATACATTCTTGACCCATTTTATTCTATAAAACCTACCAGTATTTAGTTTGAATACAATTTAAGTATGTACATATTATTTATGTTTTGGAAGCTCAGAGCAACTGTCCGTACAAGTGAACACACACTAAGAAAACTATTAAACATCGTATTTTAATTGTGATGAATTCAAAGTTAAATACCATGGCTATGTTTGAAACCTTTCAAATGAACCAAATTGTACAAATACCAATAATATTAAAGTTGTTGAGATAATTGAAAAACGTTTGTCCTGAAATTTTTATGTTATCAAATGTCAGGGTGGCACAACCGTACCATAGGACTGTTACTACTATTGTTACTTATTTTAAGTTAACAGGATATTGAATCAACCAAGGATCCCAACTGACCCAAACTCAACTCATAGGTTGGCCCGTACACTTTCCATGTCAGGTTATACAACAATGTAAAACTAGGAAAGTTTTGTCATAAAGTTCTTTCTTTTATTTAAACATGTATGTATGTATGAAATAAAACACATACAAGCTGTAGAATTATATATATATTTACAAATATTTGCACATTTTCTGGACATTTCTTGGGCGATTAAGTTGGAAATGCTGTTAAAAAATTTATTTAAACTCCTTTACAAGTAAATGAACCTTGTTAAAACACTTTCCAGGCTCAACAATATCCATTACATCAATTTTAAAAATACCATTTGAAAATCCATATATAAGATAAGATAAGATAAGATAAGATAAGATAAGATTTTCCTTTATTGATCCCCCTTAGAATAAATTAAAATTAGACACAGCAGCAATACGGGAATGTAGTGCAAAGAGTACATTAGTGTATAGAAGTGTAGAATATATTTATATTATTATATTATATATATATATATATATATATATATATATATTATATATATATATCACACTGTACAATAACAGCTAAAACTCATAATGTGTCATAATAATACAGTCTCCAAGCACCTTATATGTTTATATGTTCACTGCACCTTATATTTTTACTTTGCACTATAATTATACTTATTATACTGATTATTTATAAATTTTATGCATTTTTATATTGCATTTTATATTGCTCTTTTTATATGTCTAGGTTGTTCTCTTTACTTACTGTGTTGTTACTGTGTGTAATGCTGCTGCTACACTGCAGTTTCCCAGCTTGGGATCAATAAAGTATATCTATCTATCTATCTATCTATCTATCTATCTATCTATCTATCTATCTATCTATTCACATACATTATACACTGTAAACAGTTATTTTCTTTCTCTTCATATTGTTCATATTTTACTGTCGTTATCAGGTTTGTATGCTCTCGTGCACACAGGCCTTACCTCCAAAGGTCAGAACGAACATCCACAAAACGTAGAAAAACACCACAAACGCCACCAATCTTACTGCCGCCATGGTCGAGGAGCTGCTGCTGCTGTCTGAGCTGACACCAGACTGAGGTTGGTACCCTGGACTGGCACAAACTTCTGCACCGGTTGTCTTTGGGTGTCTGCAGTCACGTGAGTTCACAGAAACCAGAACTTCCAGTATGCAGTCGGGTTGCATCAGACACCAGAGTAAATCAACTGTGCATTGTACTGTGGTTATTAGCTTTATTACAGCAGTATATCTATAGTGATTATACCTGTGCACAGTTCACATAATAAACAGTGTGTTTACTTAGGGCTGGGGCACTGTGTCTTTCTGTGTGGCCATAACAGTTCATCACATTTATTAATGAGTCTTTACCACATTATTTAACACTGTTGTTGCAGTTGTGCTGAATGGTCTTTTTAGTGAGGTTTGCCACAGAACTCCTCTCTGGATGCTCAGAGGACTCTTTAACTCTCCTCTACGTATTCAAACAGCTCGATTGAAGGGCAAAAGCAACTTATTCTCACCGGCTGGAAAACTCCCATTGCACCATGTTTCAGACCTGTTTCAGTTAATCACATGGAGAAATTATTACAACGGTGATAATAAAGTATTCATGCATTATACATTTAAATACACATATATTTATTAATGAATAACCTGTAAAACAACAGTAATATTCCAGCAGCTGGACCCAAAAATAACATAACAGAAAATAACTGACTGGTAAAAATACAGTAATCAATAATATATATATATATATATATATATATATATATATATATATATATATATATATATGATTATATATCTATAATCAAAATACAGTTTTTAGCTTGTATAATTTTTGGTCTTTTTAATGTTTAATTAAAGATATTTACAGTGTAAAACAATGATCTATAAATACAGGTGCTATATTATAAATAATCAGACTTACATTTACAGCAGAGTGCTGTTATTATTGGATTATTATTTTAATGTGAATGTTAAAAGTTATAGAACTGTAATAAAAGTCATTATCTGTTAAATTACAGTAATTATTGCTGTTTACACTGATAACAACTGTATTTGGACAGTTTGTCAATGCTTATACACTGATAAATAACATTTATTCAACGTTTGTGTTGTGAAAAGTGTCAGTGCCTCTGGTTCCCTCTGCTGTCCAACCTATTTTATTACAGCCCACAGAGAATACCAGTTACACACAGACCACATGAACACCACTGCAATGTAGCAGCAGACATTATTTTATCAATTAGACCGACACTTCAGACTGATACAGCCAACAGAGGAGTTACCCCACTGAATGCTTTTATGACAGAAACTGTATAAATACAGATATTATTAATTATACATATGTCTCCATCAGCCCGGGCTTTGTATTCATGGGGCTTTTTCTGTAATCTAAGTTAAGAGTTAAGAGGTTTTTATTTGTCACATGCACAGTTATACATAGTACAATGCACAGTGAAATGCATTCTTTGTACCTGCAGCCAGTAGTAAAGAAAAAAAAATACTTCTACAGTAAAACAGTAGTGATTGCACATAACACACAATGTAAACAATATAAGTGTAAATATAAAACTAAGGGAAAAAAAATAAAATAAAATATAGACTGTAGTTTTTTTTTTTTTTTTTTTTTTTGTCCGGTTAAGGCTCAGAGTTGAGCAGGCGGATGGCATGTGGATAAAAACTCTTCTTCAGCCTCTCAGTCTTTGTCCTCAGGCATCGGAAACACCGACCTGATGGCAGTAGAGTGAAGAGGGTGTGTCCGGGGTGACTGGGCTGTTTGAGGATCTTCTTCGCCCTTAACCTGCAACGTTTGGTGTAAATGTCCTGCAGGTTGGGGAGAGAGGTTCTGATGGTCCGCTCTGCAGAACGGACCACCCTTTTGAGGGCCATGAAGTCCTGCCTGGTGCAGTTTCCTATCCAGGTGATGATGCTCCCACACAAGATGCTCTCGATGGTACAGGTGTAAAAGTTCCTGAGCACCTTGAGAGGGAGCTTAAAGTCTCTGAGGCGTCTGAGGAGGTAGAGACACTGTCTGGCTTTCTTCACAATGGTGTTCAGGTGATGAGTCCATGACAGGTCTTGTGAGATGGTCACTCCCAGGTATCTGAAAGTGTCCACTCTTTCCACCTCAGAGCCACAGATAGTGAGTGGATGGAAGTCCCTCTGCTGTTTCCTGCTGAAGTCCACAATGAGTTCCTTAGTTTTGCTGACGTTCAGCAGGAGGTGGTTCTCCTGACACCAGTCCTCCAGGTGGGAGACCTCCCTCCTGTAGGCTGTCTCGTCGTCGTGGGAGATTAGTCCTACAACAGCGGTGTCGTCAGCAAACTTCATGATGAAAACATAGACGTAGACATAGATAATCTATTTGTTCTCCTGGTTCCTTAGACACTTCCTCTACTGTTCTGGGTATAAATGAATAAGGCGGGGCCGATGGCATCGGCCCTGAACTAACCAGACTTCTATCACGGTACAAATGTTCAACCACTTTGTGACTGACCGAACTCTGGCGTCATGTCTGGAGCAGTAGAGAGAGGCGCTGACGGCAGCTGGGTGTGTCGGGGATCCAGCGGGGATCCAGTGGGGTTCTGGGCTTGGTGGCCTGAAGCACCCAGCCTCGGCGGGGATCTGTTCTACACAGTAACGCCGCCACTTCCTGGACACAGAGTGAACAAAGGCCTACTTTGTTATTCATTTTGTTTTCGGGTTGTTTCATATGCTACGTGAGGCACTGTGTGTGTGTGTGTGTGTGTGTGTGTGTGTGTGTGGTGTGTGTGTGTGTGTGTGTGTGTGTGTGTGTGTGTGTGTGAGTGTGAGCGTGAGTGTGAAAGGTTCTGTTTAAATAAAGTTGAGTTGACACACACACACACACACACACACAGAGGTGTAATTCCTTATAAGCCTATGAAAGCTGCCTGTTAAACACTGCAGCCTGAGTGTGTGTGTGTGTGTGTGTGTGTGTGTGTGTGTGTGTGTGTGTGTTATTAGGGTTACACTGCTGACTCAGGAGGATCAGTGTGCCTGTTACTAATCTGCCCTTCCTCACTTTTCACTGTCTCCTCTTTCCTGCTTCCTTATTTCCTTCCCTTTTTGCGTCCTTATCCCTCGTGTATTCCCCCCTTCTTTCTTCTCCTCCTTCCTCTCTCATCCTCCCTCTTTCTTACCTCCTCCCTCGTCCACCTGAGCAGAGTCTTCCTCACACACACACACACACACACACACACACACACACACAAGTAGAAAGCACATGTACTTATGGCCTAACTAACTTTACTAAATGAGAAGCCGCTCTGCAGGTGAGGGTGGATCCATTTCATTGCAGGTGTCTATGAGACACACACAGTATCATCCCTCCTCTAATCCCTTTATCCCCCGTCAGGGTGACAGAGGAGACTCTTCTGCCGGATCCTCCAAACGCTCCTTCTCCTCTCTCCCATCCCTCCATTTTCTCCTCTTTTCTCTCTGCGCTCCAAATTTTAAAGGATTTAACGGAGACAGGTGTGTGTGTGTGTGTGTGTGTGTAGGGATGGGATACTCCTCTGTTTCCACGGCGATGAGTTTGACGGGCGGTCGGTGGATCTAGGCCACGTAACCGAGGGCGACAGATTATCAACTGACAGGTGAGTCAAGGAGATAATAGAGTGAAGGTAGAGGGAGAATTATTATACAACATATACTGAAAAATGTCTTATTATAAGTTAAAGTTTTATTAAATCTGATGTTTTTGGATTACTGCTACATTAATGTGTATTTTACTGCTGTAGAAGTTTACGGTTGAGCTCGTCTGAATATACCGTTTTATATATACTGATGGTTTAATCTACAGCAATGCATCATATTCCATAAGATCATCATGTTTGTGTTTGTTTCCTATGAGAACAACGTAGATAAACAGCCTGTTTACAGCTTTGTGACGACAGATTCTCCAGATAATAAATGAGGGTTTTAAATTGTTTATTTAGTTTAAGAAGAAGGAGAATTTGTTCAATACATTAAGGAATAATTCATCCTTTAGTTTATCACAAACATCAACACATCTGGAGATACATGGTTTTCACTGGAACAGGTAGCGGGTGCAAATTTGAGCCTTCGTAAGCCCCGCCCCCTTTTGGACCCTCGATCAGCTTCCTCCTTTCCTGTACTTAGATATGCTATATGCTAAGCTAATCTATGTTGAAAAGACAACCACATTTTGAAGATGGTTAGGAGATGAAAGTGACATAGTTACTACAGAGCAAAACACTAGCTATCTAGCTAATCCACATTGATCCTTAGCCAGCTACTTACCTCTGAAGAACACTCATCAATTAGCTAGCTAACAATTGTGGTAGATTAGCAAGCATTATGCTAATTTATGATAGATAGATATCTAGTCACATCTTAAATTAACAAATAGCTAGCTAATCTACATTAATTGTTAGCTAACTAGTGACGTCTAATTGCTAGTTTTAGCAAAATGCGAGCTAATTTACATCTGTCCTTAGCTATCTAGTTATTTGGCTGGCCAGTTAGCTAGTTAGCTCCCAATTTGCTAGAGAGCAAACCGATTGCAGTTTAGTTAGCATCAATTGTTAGCTAGCATTCTGCTAACATTAGCTATCAGATCTAACCAGCTAGCTAACTCATTAGCTTGTCACAAGAAGCATCAGCATCAGAAACCCTCCTATCACACCTGTTCCATCAACTTCTCTAATGCGATACTTTAAAACAGAGAACGAGTGTCTGAACAAACGCACAAAACTTTCCCACTCAGAAAAGTCTCCAGTAAAACAAACAAGAAGCTTTCAACTTCCTTAAACCCCAACGTCTTCGGTTGGAGTTACATGTTATTGTCTCTCTCTGTGAACAGGAAGTCAGACGAAAGAATACCTCCATGGCCAAAGTAGCTCCATCAGACCCATCCCCCATCTCCAGGTTGACGCCGCCCACCATCGTTCTACAAGACATGGAGGAGGAGTCAGGAGAAGATGGGGAGGGCAACAGGTGAGTTGTCATAGAAATTCAGTATGAAGAAACCAGAGATCCTAAAGGAAGTTCTATGGGTACTTTTAGGGGTTCTTCAAGAGGTTTTGGGTGTCCTTCAGGACCCGCTTATGTGGTTTGTGATGTGGTCCTGTGGATAGTTGGTGTCCTTTAATGGATCTAAGGCACTAAGAAAGTTATATAGGTCCTCAAAAAAGTTCTAGGGGTCCGTGAGGACTACCAGCATTACTACACCCACGTTTCCACTGTTTAGGGGTGTCTTGAAGAATCCAAGAGTCCTTGATATGTCTTTGTAGGTGTTCTAGGGGTGCTTCATGAGGTTTTATGGGACCTCAGGGATGCTTAAGGGGTTCTGGATGCAGTTCAATGGATTTAAAGGGTTCTCTAAAGTACTGAGGGCCTCTTGAAGAGGTTCCGAAGGTCCTTGAGTAGGAAAATAAAATTGTATTAATTAGAGCCAAAGAACACTGTTAACAAGCCAATAACTGCACATTTTAGCTTTGACCACGGTCCTTGAGGAGGTTTGAGGGGTCACTGAAGAGGTTCTGTGGTTCTTGAAGTTGAGTTGAGTTGCTGTCAACAACTTAAACCATCGTCCGATTGTTGTCTTTGTTTCAGAGCCGCTCAAGGAGCCGGACCAGGAGTTCTGTTTAACGTCAATAACAGTAACAATAACGATGACGAGTAAGTCACACAAACACACACAGGCTGAGTCACTCAACCAAACAGATGCATCGTACGGACAGAAGTAGTAACCAGGATGTCAACACTGATACAACACAAATACAGTCTGTGTGATGTGTTTCCTGTTGTCTTCCAGTGAAGAAAAGAAAAAAAAGAAGAAAAGTAAGAAAGAGAAAAAAGAGAAGAAAGAGAAAAAAGAGAAGAAGGAGTAAGTTTCTAACTCATCACCTGTGGAACAGAGCTACAGATATTTGATTCACTTTAAATCAGTTTTATCTGTCTTCTTTTCCCCTCAGGAAGGAGAAGCAGGAGAAAAAGGAGAGGAAGGAGAAAAAACAGAAGGAGAAAGAAGAGAAGGAAAAGGAGAAAGAGAAAGAAAAGGAAAAGGAAAAAGAGAAGAAGGCCAAAGAGGAGGCGTAGGTTTGGTTTATTGAATCAGACATTGAAGGCATTGTTTTATAATAGTAATAATTCATTATTGTGCATGTGTCCAGTCCTAAGGAGATCCAAGTGATTGATCCAGCAGGTAACACCTACTACTACTGGCTGGCTATCATCACCATGCCCGTCATGTACAATTGGACCCTGATCATTGCCAGGTAACACACGTTTACCTAAACCTGTTTGTCCCCCTTGTCACCATAATTTTAACCAGAAAATAACAAAATACAGTTACAAGTCCAAACAATATCAATGCATCCTTAGTTTGGGTCCCAACCATGTCTGCAAGCAACCAGGCTTGGGTCCATACAAAGTCAAGCTACCAATTGTGGGTCTCCACAATATCTGTAAGCTACCGGTTTTGGATCCCCACTCTGTTAGACTGTTAGATACAAGGTTTGGGTACCCACAATGTCAGTAAGGTTCCACGTTTGCATCCCCACAATATCTTTGATTTACCAGGTTTGGGTCCCCACATTGTCAGTGAGCGATCAGGTTTCCAGATAGTATCAGTTAGATACCAGGTTTTGAATCCCAAGAATGCTAGGTTTTAATCCACACTATTTCATTAAGCCACCAGGTTTTGGTCCCCACAATGTCAGTGAGATACCAGGGTTGTCACCACAGTGTCAGGGAAGTACCAGGTTTTGGTCCCCACAATATCTGTGATTTACTAGGTTTGGGTCCCAACCTTGTTTGCGGGCAACAAGGATTTCCTGTATGATGTGTTTATATGTCTGTTTCAGGGCGTGTTTTGAAGAGCTACAGACTGACTATCTGATGTACTGGTTTATGCTGGACCTTTTCTCTGACCTCGTCTACATCGCTGACATGATCTTCAGAACAAGAACCGGTCCGAATGCACACACACAGCAACAGATTGTTTGATGTACATACTAACACATTACAAATCACACACACATAAATTACCTCACATAAAACGTGTGTGTGCAGGTTACCTGGAGCAGGGTCTACTGGTGAAGGATGAGCAGAAGCTGCGTGAGCGTTACATAAAAAGTTTCCAGTTCAAACTGGACCTGATCTCCATGATTCCCACCGACTTGCTGTACCTCGTGTTCGGCTTCACTTATCCTGAGATACGCCTCAACAAGCTCTTCAGGTTCAACAGGTACACAATAATACATAGTTGGGTTAACGATGTTTAACATTACGACTACAGTATTAAATCATGGGACACTGTTTCTGCCTCAAAATAGTTGACAACTAACTGATTATCGACTAATGGTTGCAACTGCACTCAAGATACACACTTTCAACTAAACTAACCATCTTCAAAATGTGGTTGTCTTTTCAATACAGATGAGCCTAGAACATAGGCTGATGGGAAAGTCATTAGTTATTTAGGTATTTGCTCATGTTGACCTGATGATGGTGCTAGAAAAGTCAGAGGATCAATAAAGTTATTACAATTCATCCATCAATGTCTGAACCACATTTCATCACAGTCCATCAAATGGATATTTCAGTCTGGAGCCACATTACTAACATGACTAAATACTTAATGTGGAGATGCTACAATCACATAAACTTTGTGCAATTCAGACAAATTGCTGAACTTCATATTTGCACCAGAAGCACAAGATCAAGATCTTTTTGTTTGCTTCAGGATGCTGGAGTTCTTCCAGAGGACAGAGACCAGGACTAACTATCCCAACGCTCTCCGTATCTCCAACCTTGTCATGTACATTGTCATCATCATCCACTGGAATGCCTGCCTCTACTACTCCTTCTCCAAGGCCATCGGTGGGGTTGCTGGTTTGAATCTGATCTGTTCTGATTGGTGGTTATTGTATAAAAACCTCTGACAGCTCGTCTTGTTCCACCCATCCAGGTTTTGGTTCTGACAGGTTCGTCTACCCCGACCCAGCAGATCCAGAGTTTGGTCGTCTGGTGAGGAAGTACGCCTACAGTATGTACTGGTCCACACTGACGCTCACCACCATTGGAGAAACCCCGCCCCCTGTGGAGAACTCTGAGTACTTCTTCGTCGTCACTGACTTCCTGGTGGGTCTAACAACAAACTTATCCATGCATTTCTAAGGGCTTGGTATTATTTAAAATTTTACAATACCAATGCAATACGATACCTGACTGTCAGTACTCATATCAAAATACAAAACCATTTTCTGAGTGCATCAACAGCCACAACAAAAACATTACCTGTGTAAAATACAGTCCAAAATTATCAAAGTAATGATTTAAATCAAGAAATCTGCATTGCTGCATTATCTCCAATGGCCAGAAGGGGGCAGCACCACTCTGATAGTATTGAGTCTTATGGAGAACTTGATTTATGAGCTCAGTAAACAGGTTCCTGAGGAGTTTATGGTCTCAGTCTCTAGTTTCAGTCTTCTGGCCGTGCTGATCAGATATGGATCAAGAGGTGAGCTGCCATTATTTCCTGCATGAGTTGAAACGTGGAGCAACTGCCACAGAAACAAAGATAAAAACTGGTTTCTTATATCAGAATAAAATATGTTCCAGTCAACCATCATGTCAGTTCTTTATTCTGATGTTTTTATGGACGTGTGCTACTCCATTCTCCTCTGTCTCCTCTCCAGGTCGGTGTGTTGATTTTTGCCACCATCGTTGGTAACGTTGGTTCGATGATCACCAACATGAACGCTGCCAGAGCCAGCTTCCAGGCTCGTATCGATGCCATCAAACAGTACATGAGCTTCCGAAAGGTTTGTTAGTGCTTCTGTTTTTGTCCATATGGTTTAAAGAGAAGTCAGTAAAAAGAAATGTTTTGCAGCGTAGAACATCACTAGATCAACTAGATCAACAAGTGGTCCATCCCAACCTTTCTGTCCCCCCTCCAGGTAACCAAGGACCTGGAGAAGCGAGTCATCAAGTGGTTTGACTTCCTGTGGACCAATAAGAAAGCCGTGGATGAGAGGGAGGTGTTGAAGTACCTGCCTGACAAGCTGAGAGCCGAGATCGCCATCAATGTCCACCTGGACACCCTGAAGAAGGTCTGCACGCACTTAACAGAAAAAAAAATAACAGTTTCAGTGAACGAAGAAACACCAGGTTTGTCCTCTGTGTCACCGTGCAGGTTCGTATCTTTGCGGACTGCGAGGCCGGTCTGTTGGTGGAGCTCGTGCTGAAGCTGCAGCCTCAGGTCTACAGTCCAGGAGACTACATCTGCAAGAAGGGCGACATTGGCCGAGAGATGTACATCATCAAGGAGGGAAAGCTCGCTGTTGTTGCCGATGACGGAATCAAGCAGTTTGTCGTCCTGAGCGACGGAAGCTACTTTGGCGAGATCAGCATCCTGGCTATCAAAGGTAGACTGACATCGGTTGTTAATCTGATTTAGACAGACGTGCTTCCTTTAGTCTGTGGATTGTTTGAAAGATATTACCAAAACAAAATGAGTCCCAATCGTCTCAACATCATTAATCAACGTCTAAAAGAGAGTGAATATCAGACTTCAGAGACAGATTCATCAGGTGGACACAAACACCGGTCCAAAGGGACGATCTATATTACTCTGGATGTGGAGGTTGGCAGCTGTTTGCTAACACGTTCTGCTAACAAATCATTATTCATAAAACACTTGCATTGCTTGTTTGCACAAAAACAGGAATTTTACCCCTCAGAACACAGTTTCTGATCTACAGCTGCCTCGCTAACACTAGAGTCTCACATTAACAGACGGACCAATGAAAGCAGAGAGACTCTGAACAGTACAATGTGAATAAAAACATTCCCAACCATCCATCTTGTTCCTCAACAGGCAGTAAGGCAGGAAACAGGAGAACAGCCAACATCAGGAGCATCGGTTACTCCGACCTCTTCTGTCTTTCCAAAGACGACCTGATGGAGGCGCTAACGGAGTATCCTGATGCCAAAGCTCTGTTGGAGGAGAAAGGAAGGCAGATTCTGATGAAGGACGGACTGCTGGACTTGGAGGTACAAAAACACTACATCTTTCAGAGGGGTCAAATCTCTGTTGTGACTAGGTTGTCAGCAATAATTATCCTGATCAGACACCATCAGTGATCAATACTCACATTATTAAAGCATTAATCAAACTAATACCGTCAGAAAACCTGATCAGCCTTCAGCAGTTAGCTAGTGTTTCTGTAGTGGAGACTAAACGTTAACAATGATCCATATCAGCAGTTTGAATCCAACTAAAAGCTCCCTGCACCAAACTCCCTTTAAGAAATATCACATTTTAACAATTCCTAACGTGTTAAAAACTGATCAATATCATCCATAAAGTAACAGTGTCTACTGATCAATACATCCATAAAGCTAAAGGCATACTGATCAATATGTCCATAAAGATACAGTCTGACTGATCAATACAGGGTCAATATCATCCATAAAGATACAGTGTATACTGATCAATATCATCCATAAAGATACAGTGTATACTGATCAATATCATCCATAAAGATACAGTGTATACTGATCAATAATCAATAAAGATACAGTGTATTTTGTGCTAACTCAACTGGCTCAGCCTCTGCTGTTAGGGGACTGTAACACTAATCAGAGCTGGTTGTTGGATCACATACATCCTGAATTAAACGCTGACTCATAACGTCGTTAATTCACCGTCAGTTATGTGTGTGTGACGGTATTTGAACCATAGAAACTACCTGGTTCGCTGCTTCCTGTTTGGTGCTGGAGAGGGACTGCTCTCATTGGCTGTCGCTCATTGACTCCGACACCAACAGACATTTATTCTGCTGGGGTATCTTTGATGCATCAGCGAGCGCTCTGATAGAACAGTTCACACATAGTGAGCAAGCACCCATTTGCCTCATATGGGGACATTAGTCAGCAAATCTTGGAACCGGGCAAATATTTCCACCAGTTTTGAGCAGAATCATTGTGGTAAACAGATTCAGGTTTTTTTTTCGTCTTTTCCATCCTCTGTTTCCAACAGGTAGCATAAGGAACACGGATGTTGTTACAGTTTCAGGTCAAGAAAAAGCTGCTTATATTTGGTCCAAATGGTTCAAAATGAGGTCTGGATCCGGAACCACGTTGGCGTAGAAGTAGTGAAAGAGGCTGAGCTTAAAGTAACAACTGCTGTTGTCCTCTAGGTGGCGGCGCAGGGCCCCGACCCCAAAGAGATCGAGGAGAAGGTGGAACGGATGACGAGCACGCTGGACGTCCTGCAAACGCGTTACGCCCGGCTGCTGGCCGAGCACGAGGCCACTCACAGCAAACTCAAACACCGAGTCGCCCGGCTGGAGAAGAAGCTTGTGCCGCCCCCTCCGACGCCCGAGACCCAGATGGGTGAATAAGGAGAAGAGAAGAAGTAGGGAGACATGAAGAGGACTGGGGTCGTTGGATTTTAGAGGTGGACGGAGAGCAGCAGTTCTGGCGTTGAATCAGATGTTACAGATAATCTGGTTTACAAAATGTAAATATTGACACGTTTCAAATTCTATATTATGACCTCTTTAAAGTCTCTTTCACATTCACATGATAATGAACTTGTGTTCAGTCGCCGGCTGTAGAGAACTGAATCTGAATGTGAAGAACTACGTTTCAATTTTGTTCAATTTTCTGCATAAAAGTCTTGATTTCCCTCCAAATTAACTAAAGTATATATTTACACCGGGAACAAACTGAAGTGGACTGACTCCAGATTGCTGCTGCGCCAGCACAAGAGGACGACCGAGCTTCAGGACAACTGAGAGAGAGAGAGAGAGAAGAAGAGAGAGAGGGAGGAGAGAGAGAGAGAGAGGGAGAGAGAGAGAGAGAGAGAGAGAGAGAGAGAGAGAGAGAGAGAGAGAGAGAGAGAGAGAGAGAGGGGAGAGAGAGGAGAGGGAGAGAGAGAGAGGGGGGAGAGAGAGAGGGAGAGAGAGAGAGAGGGATGTTAGCTGTTTCTAGTAAATATTCATCTTTGTAATTATTATGTATTATATATTTATTAATGAACACCACATCTGTTCTTCTGTCTGTCTGCGTGATAAAAATATAAACTCTGGCTCTGTAACGCCACAGGTAGAAACAGGAAGACGAATTATCTTAAAGTTCATAAATATACATTTGAATTGTTTAATTTCTCACTTTCAGACAGCTTCACTTCCTGCTTTAGAACCAGTAGGGGTCAAAGGTCAGCAGGTAGTTTGTTTTTCTATAAACAAGATCTTGCCTTTCCAGTATGTGTGCAGCCAATCACGTCCCGGCTTTGTAAATAGTTGTTAAAGCTACATGATGTAAAATAAATCAAATAAAGGAGAACCAAATGAAATGTGGAAGCTGAAATAAAGATATTTTATAAGGAAAACCACAACTGACTCTTTTATTTTCACACAGCTGCACTGAAACAAACATCTTAATATTACTGGTACATAAAGATACAGGACACTATTTATATATATATATATATTATTTATTATTCTTAATTCAAATTTAATTGAAGTTTAAAAAAGTAATGCACTGTTTTATTCAAACAAACAGCTTCTATAGAAAGTGGAAGACTTCCTGTGTATATAATATTATAACATATTTCTGGTTTAAATACATTTATTTTTTATTTAAAGAATATAATCAGTCATACACATTGATTTAACAAAATTATATATATTTATATTTTATTTAAAATACTAATAATAACTTCATCATAAAGTAATATAAGACTGTAAACTCAAAATAACATTAAATTATAAAGAATTTAAAACATTGAATTAATATTATTAAGACTTTATTTTATTGATCTGTTATTGTTGTTATTGATCTGTTATTGTTGTTGTTATTGTTGTTATTGATCTGTTGTTGTTGTTATTGTTGTTATTGATCTGTTATTGTTGTTATCTTTGTTATCGATCTGTTGTTGTAGATATTGGTGTTATTGATCTGTTGTTGTTATTGATCTGTTGTTGTTGTTATCTTTGTTATCGATCTGTTGTTGTTGTTGTTATTGGTGTTATTGTTGAATTAATATTATTAATACTTTATTGTATTGATCTGTTGTTGTTGTTATTGTTGTTATTGATCTGTTGTTGTTATTGATCTGTTGTTGTTGTTATTGTCGTTATTGATCTGTTTTTGTTGTTGTTGTTATTGTTGTTATTGATCTGTTATTGTTGTTATTGTTGTTGACGTGGTTAAGAAGATGAATGAATCGTTCAGCTGTTGACGTTGACACGTCGCACTGCCTGCGTGTCTCGGTGCATTCTGGGATTTGTAGTTCCGCACTCTCAGAACGCTCCTCTGTCACTACTATCCGCGCAGCTGCTTGGGACTACGAGTACCGGCGTGCACTGCTCTGCGCATGACAACCAGGCTCCAGAGTCCGGCGCTGCAGACTGAGGTGTGTTTGACAGAAAGCTTCTTAAATTACTTTTCTGTTCGTCTTTAATTATAAAAGCTTCAGCGGAAGCAGCTCGTGAGGGTGTTTTTATTTTAATGACGGTTGTTTGCCGGATGTGACGTCTGTTCCCGCCTGTTCTTACAGCTAATATTAGCGGCAGTAGTTAGTTAGCGTACGGAAGCTAGCCGCCGGCTAAGAGCAGTTTGCAGTGAACTTGAGGTTAACGTTAGCTCGGTACCGGTTCTCCGGTTGTACGTTATGAACCGTACGGTGGAGCTCAGTGTCACAGCGGGTTGAACTCACTGTCGGCTGTTACATACATCCCATAATGAACACACAGCGGGCTGCAGCCTCAGTGGAAACCTCTCCGCACACCAGACTCCATTCAAAAAACGGCTCATTTAGTGGAGCTGTGATACTATAACACTGTCCTACTGCAAACTAATGATTAATCTCAGTATTGATTCTCTATCGATCATTTATTGGTTTGCTCTATCCAATCAACGGGTTCATTGATTATCACAAGAGTTATTGATTATTGATTAGTTGCAGCTCATGATGATTGTTGTTATTAATCTGATCATTCTCTACATTGGGATATAAAATATATCAATCAATCATAAGGTGATTAGTTAGACCGATGTTCCGATATGATTATTGATCAGTGTGGAAGTTGTCTGACCTTTAATGAAATCAACTGATCGATTAACGAGCAGCTCTCCTGCAGAGGTCCTGAGGCGGTTGCCATGGAGCCGGCCTGGCGACAGCAGGGAAGGGGGCGTGGCCGGAGTCAGGAGGGTCCGGGTGAAAGGTCACGGCCCCCACCACAGAAGGAGAGAGAGAGACCCGGGGGGGCGGCTGCAGGAGCCTGGGGGGCCGGACGAGGAGGGAGGACGAAGACCGCCACCGCAGAACCTCCACACGGTGAGGACGGAGACTCTCCAGTTCCAGTCCCGCTACTGGACCTGGTCCCAGTTCCAGTCTTGGTCCCGGTCGTGGTGCCG